GCAGGGGGCCGGATAAATGGCCTCAGGGGGCCGCATGTGGCCCGCGGGCCGTAGTTTGGGGACGCCTGTTTAAAGGGAATCTCACGCCTGTAATCCCAGCACTTTGGGAGGCCAAAGTAGGAAGAATGTTTGAGCCCAGGAGATGGAGACCAGCCTGGGCAACATAGTGAGATCTTGTTATTAGAATTAATTAAAAAATAGGCTAGACACAGTGGCTCATGCCTGTAATCTTAGCACTTTGAAAGGTCAAGGTGGGAAGATCACTTGAGTGCAGTTCAAGACCAGCCTGGGCAATATACTGACGCCTCACCTCTACTAATGAAATAACAAATTAGCCATGGTGACACATAGCTGTAGTTCCAACTACTCAAAAGGCTGAGGCAGGAGAATCACTTCAGCTCAGGAGGTCGAAACTACAGTGAGCCATAATTGTGCTACTGCACTCCAGCCTGGGTAACAGAGTGAGATCCTGTCTCAAAAATAAATAAATAAATAAATAAAGGGGCACAGAGACTCCAATACAATAGTAGGTGGGGACTTCAGTAATCCAATCTCAGCACTGGACAGATCATCTAGACAGAAAATCAGCAAAGAAACATTAGATTTAGACCAACTGGGCCTAACAGACATCTATAGAGCATTTCATCCAACAGCTACAGAATAAACATTCTTCTCATCAGCATATGCTCCAAGATAGACCACATGTTAAACAAATAAACACAAAAACTAAATCTCAACTAATTAAAAAAAATCATCTCAATCTTTTCTGACTGGACACAGCACTTCATACCTATAATCCCAGCCGTTTGGGAGGCTGAGACGAGAGGATCGCTTGAGGCCAGGAATTCAAAACCAGCCAACATAGCGAGACCCCATTTCTACAAAAGAAAAAAACAAAACAAAAAAACTTTGGCATGGTGACACATATAGTCCTAGCTAGTCAGGAGGCTGAGACAGGGGCTTGCTTGAGTCTAAAATTTTGAGGCTGCAGTGAGCCATGATCAGGCCACTGCACTCCAGCCTGGGCAACAGAGTAAGACCCTGTCTCAAAAAATATATGTATCATTTCTGATCAAAATATAACCTTTTCTGATCCGAGGCAGGTGGATCACCTGAGGTTAGGAGTTCGAGACCAGCCTGGCCAACATGGTAAAACCCTGTTTCTACTAAAACTACAAAAATTAGCTGGGTATAGAGGTGGGCACCTGTAATCCCAGCTACTCCAGAGGCTGAGGCAGAAGAATCACTTGAACCTGGGAAATGAAGGTTGCAGTGAGCCAAGATAGCGCCATTGCACTCCAGCCTGGGTGACAGGGCAAGACTCCATCTCAAAAAAAAAAAAAAAAAAAAAAAAACCCAAAAATACTACAAGCTGGGCACAGTGGCTCACACCTGTTATCCCAGAACTTTGAGAGGTCGTGTGAGGATTGCTTGAGGCCAGAAGTTTGAGACCAGCCTGGGCAACATAATGAGACCCTGTTTCTATTTTTAAAAATAAAATTTAAAAATAAAAAAATACTCAATATCACTCATAATTAGGGAAATGCAAATTAAAAACCACAACGAAATATCATCTCACTCCACTTAAAATGACTATTATCAAAAAGACAAAAAAATAACAGATACTGGAAAGGATGAGAAAGAGACCACTAGTACACTGCTGGTGGGAATGCAAATTAGTGTAACAACTGTGGAAAACAACATGGAGGTTCTTCAAAAACCTAAAAATACTTCTACCATATGATTCAGCAATCAAAGAAAATCAGTATATCAAAGACACAGCTACCTGCCCATGTTTACTGCAGCGCTATTCATGATAGTCAAGATATGGAATCAGCCTAAGTATCCTTCAATAGATAAGCAGATAAAGAAAATGTGCTATGTATACACAATGAAATACTATTTGGCCACAAAAAGAATGAAACACTGTCATCATTTGCAGCAGCATGGATAAAACTGAGGTCATTAGTTAAGTGAAATGGGCCAGGCACGGAAAAACAAGTATTGCATATTGTCACTCATATGAAAGCTTTAAAAATTGATGACAGGGAGGCAGAGAGTAGAATGATGGTTACTAGAAGCTGGAAAGGGTGTAGTAGTGGTGAAAAGACTTGGTTAATGATTAGATAGAAGCCAGGTTTGGTGGCTCACACCTATAATCCCAGCATTTTGGGAAATCAAGGTGGGCGGATCACCTGAGGTCAGGAGTCCGAGACCAGTCTGACCAACATGGTAAAATCCTGTCTTTAATAAAATTACAAAAGTTAGCTGGGCATGGTGGCAGATGCCTGTAATCCATACTTGGGAGGCGGAGGCATGAGGATTGCTTGAACCTGGGAGGCAGAGGTTGCAGTGAGCCAAGATCACGCCATTGCACTCCAGCCTGGGCAACAAGAGTGAAACTCCATCTTAAAAAAAATAAATATAAAAAACAGAAGGAATAAGTTCTAGTGTTCAACAACATAGTAGGGTCATTATAGTAATTCTCCTGCCTCAGTCTCTCGAGTAGCTGGGATTACAGGTGTGCACCACCATACCTGACTAATTTTTTTTTTTTTTTTTTTTTTTTTTTTTGAGACAGAGTCTTGCTCTGTCCCCAGGCTGGGGCTTAAACGCAGTGACTCGATCTCAGCTCACTGCACCCTCCACCTCCCGGGTTTAAGCAATTCTCCTGCCTCAGCCTCCTGAGCACCTGGGATTGCAGCTGCACCACCACACCCAGCTGATTTGCATATTTTTAGTAAAGATGGGGTTTCACCATGTTGGCCAGGCTAGTCTTGAACTCCTGACCTCAGGCATTCCACTTGCTTTGGCCTCCCAAAGTGCTAGTATTACAGGCGTGAGCCACCACGCTCGGCCTAATTTTTGTATTTTTAGTAGAGACAGGGTTTCGCCATGTTGAGCAGGCTGATTCAAACTCCTGACCTCAGGTGATCTGCCCAACTCAGCCTCCCAAAGTGCTAGAAGTACAGATGTGAGCTACCACACCTGGCCTCAACTGCATTTTAATAGGTTAAAAGCACACTGATAAGGGAAAGTATTGAGAGGAAAAAAAAGGCACAACTCTTGAGTTAACTCACCCACTGTCCCACAAACATAAAAAAGATTCTCCTATGTAAGATTTGTTGGCCTGAGTAATGGTGCATATTCCATCCCCATACTAGCTGTACCTGTAATCACATTCCGTGATTGCTGAAGCTTTTCTCCCCCAGCTCATAGTTACTGGCTTTTTGTTTTTTAGAGAAGGGGTCTCTTTAAATTTTTAGAGACAGGGTCTCGCTATATTGCCCAGGCTGGTCTCAAATTCCTGAACTCAAGGGATACTTCCACCTTGGCTTCCTGAGTAGCTGGGATTACAGGTATGAGCCATCATGCCCTGCTCTTAGCTCACAGCTTTTAGCTCTTTTGAAAATCTCTATTTTACAGGTACCTGACTGTAGCAGACACACTCTAAGGTCATCCCCAATAGGTCACATCCCTGTGCTAGCCTCTACTCTTGCTTCTAGATACTAGAATACTGGTAAAGGCAATGGGATGTTACTCCCACAATGACTGTAACATCCTCTAAGACTTGTTTAGAGATTCTCCTGCTTGCTTTGAAGAAGCTGCCATGTTGTGAGAGGTATCTGTGAGTGGGCCACAGTGGCACAGAACTGTGGGAGGCTTCCAGAAGCTGAGTGATGCCCAGCTGACAATCAGCAAGAAAAAGGACCTCAGTCTACAAGAGTAAGAAACCCTATAAGCAGCCCTGTGAGATGGTAAATGTCTGTTGTTTCAAGGTGTTCAATTTGTTATGTGTTACCCAGCAACAGAACATTTGGGTATTTGTAGGTTAGGTATCAGCAGGCACTTACCTAAGAACCAATCAGTAGGATGAATGCTAATTCTTAGAATTGCACTAAGTCTTTTCCTTCCAGTATGGAAAGTTCACAATGCCTATGATCTCATATGACCATTCACATTTTGGTTTGTGGAACCATAGTGAATTTTCCAGTGTGGATTTTGAAATTTTCTTCCATGTTCTTATCATCCTCCTCCTCTCTCTGAGCTGCATCTTCTACCCTGTATCAGTAAATGCTGAAGGCGGAATTCCTATTCTGCCACGTAACTGCAACTGCCTAGTTTCCAAAAACCTGAGAAAAAAGCAGTAAGTGAAGAAGAAGTAATTTCCAAGTTCCAACTATGGGAAAAGTACAGTATAAAAAGAGCAGAAGGAAAGGCCGGGCGCGGTGGCTCACGCCTATAATCCCAGCACTTTGGGAGGTCGAGACGGGTGGATCACGAGGTCAAGAGATCGAGACCATTCTGGTCAACATGGTGAAACCCTGTCTCTACTAAAAACACAAAAATTAGCTGGGCATGGCGGCACACACCTGTAGCCCCAGCTACTCGGGAGGCTGAGGCAGGAGAATTGCTTGAACCCTGGAGACAGAGGGTGCGGTGAGCCGAGATTGCACCATTGCACTCCAGCCTGGGTAACAAGAGCGAAACTCCGTCTCAAAAAAAAAAAAAAACCAAAAAACAAACAAACAAACAAAAACAAAAGAAGAGCCGAAGGGCTGGCATGGTGGCTCATGCCTGTAATCTCAACACTTTGGGAGGCTGAGGTGGGTGGGTCACTTGAGATCAGGAGTTTGAGATCAGCTTGGCCAACATGGTAAACTCTCTCTACTAAAAATACAAAAATTAGCTGGGCATGGGGGTGCATGCCAGTAATCCCAGCTACTCACAAGGCGGAGGCAGGAGAATCGTTTGAACCTGGGAGGCAGAAGTTGCAGTGAGCCGAGATCATGCCACTGCACTCCATCCTGGGTGGTAAGAGTGAGAGAGACACCGTCCTCCACCCACCGACCCCCCAAAAAAATAAATAAAAAGAGCAAGAGGGTTTTTTAATCATTAACTTTTCTACCAGCCCTCTCTAAAGTTGTTACGTCATTACATGAACCAACATTGTGACAGGCATATAAGGTGAATGGGCAGTGGTCAAGAAAGATGCTGTATTTTACTGAAGACAAAACAATTGCATATTTACAGAAATTGAGTAAAAGAAAGCACAACTACTCCAATCAAGTAGAAATTAGATGTTATTCAGCATAAAACTGGAGGAAGTGAACAAAATTTCATCGATTCTAGGCATTTTTCAAAGGATTGCCTGCACCAATTTTGCCATGCACATAGGAAATACCCTTTCTGATCCTTGACTCCTAAGCCACCAAGTCACTTTCTAATCTTTACTTTGGTTTCCCAGGTATTTCAAACGCAGGAAGCAGAAACCCTGGATGGGTGACACAAGTATTCCAATCACTGGAAAAGACTGTGCCTCACTGTAAATTACACTTGCAACCTGGTTTACAGTAATTACAATATGATCACCACCCAGATGTGCTGAAGAGCTAATCTTGAGCAAGGCTCAGACCCAGCCTCTGTAAGTGAGGTAGGCAAAGGACCTGAAAAGACTCCATCTACAGCCCTACTACTAATGTAACTCTGAAACAGCTTTCAAAATTAGAACATAGTGTGTCCAAATCCCAGTTGAACACAGAATATTAGCATATAAAAATAACTTCTTTTTAAAATGTCTATAAAGATAGTATCCTCTCCATAATTGAATGAATTATGGTATTTCACTGACTCTAAGCCACTGATTGTAAAACACATTATTTTATATTTACATATGGGGAAAAAATGCCAACTGAACTTTGTCACAATGTTCAATGATCACTGATCGTATGACATGTCCTGATTTCAGAGACGTTAAAAGTGCGGGGGCAAAACTGCAACTTAAGAGTCAATGAAATGCAGTACTAAATTCAGGTAATTATTCGAATAAGGTATTAAACATTAAGTACATTGACATGTAATCATTTATCATTAGCACTTTTTTTTGTCTTTTTTTCTTTTCATTAGCACATTCTTAAAGCTATTTACCATTTTGGTTTCACTTCTCATTTGAAATGAAGAACGGGGTCGGGGGGGGGCGCTTGCACTAATTTCTAGAAGACATTTTGCACAAACTTTAAAACTTACGGATTCCCAATTTGGAAATCATCTCATTTTCATTTCTAGAATCACCGATCAGGAGGCAAGCAAAATGAGGCCTATGTTAAGTGAGAGGGCAAGGCTAGGAGTCAAGGCTTGAAGCCAGGCCCCTTGGGCCCTGTTCTGTGTTCTCTTTACTGAAGTGAGAAATCAAATGAGTCACAAGCATTTTATGATCCAACCCTACAGATAAGGTAAACCAATTAATAAAAGTATCTCTCCATTTCTCTTTTACGAAACTATTCTCAACTTTCCTGGCAAAGTATTAATACCTGATAATTTGTTCAACCAAGGAATTCACCTCCTACATAGTCTCATTCTATGAGAATACCCAACTTCTCAAAGACAAACACCGCTTTGCATGCTCTGAGAGGTAGAGACCATAAAATATTTCCTAATCAGTCACATGACAAATACTAGCCTTATAACAAGATCCCAGTGTACGTGTTTGAGACCATTTGGTTACTTATGGAAGACTCTGGGAATTACAGAACATTTCAAAACTTTTTAGCATTCGCTATAATTGGACCTAGAAATTTTAATCCCCAGAGCATGGTGAAATTCTGCTGATGCTCTGCTCTGAATGGCCTCCTTAGAAGTGGCAATTATTCAAGGATGTCAGTGCGTAATCCATCTTCTCTAAATGTTAGTCCCTTCTGTCCTGGTTTCAGGCAAGTGCTTCACACGGGAGTTGCCAGTATTAACAGGAGAGGACTCAAACACCACTGCATTTGATGGGTTGGTTAGATTTCAGCTGTGGACTCTGTCAAACTATTTCCAGATGTCTCTATTAAAGAATGCCTCATTGTATCATTCATTTCAATCACTTCAAAATCCATTTCATTCCATTTTTCTGCATCCTCCTCTTCATTCTCTTCCTCATATTCATTTAGCCCGGAGCTAGAAAGCAAAGCTTTCTGGTCCTCACTCTTTCTATTTTCTTTTCGCTGGTGATTAAGAGGTGAAGTGGCTAATTTATACATCACAGGAAATAAAACACCAGTGGCTACTGATGCTCCCAAAGAGGTATACAGCACTACAGGCAAATCAGGGTATTTTCCTTGAAGAATTCCAATCACTGCAGGAATAGCCATTTCTCCCAGGGCAGCACCAATGACAAAAAATGCTGCAGATTTCCCATGGATGGTCGTGTACTGTTCAATCCAAGAAATACCACTGGGAAATGTGGTTGCCATTGAGGCCCCATACACTGAAGTTGCTATCCAGAGACAAACTGGGTTCTTGTCAAAAAGCACCAGAAATAAAGATGAAGTCAGGCTGCCAATGTTACTCAACACAATCATGGTTCCAGGTTGTAAGCATGTAGCAAAAAAGATTGCCAGGCCCCTGCAGGCTGCAAATGTCCCCCAGAAGATGGAGTTCAACCCAGCGGCTTCGCTTTCTTTCATGCCAACATGGGTGGTTGCAAATGAGAAAACGTAAGAGCCATATGTTACCTCGGCTCCAACATAGAAAAAGAAGAACACAAAAAGGAGACAAAGAAGGGCGTTGTGATATTTTGCTCTTCGCGATCCCTGAACAGATGCTCTCGCTTTTTCCTGCTTTGAGCTATTCTTTAAAAACAGAGCAAACAATATGACAGAAACTATGAACATGTAAGTTCCGATAACAGCATAAGCCCACAGTAAAATCATATCATTAGGTACTCCAAACAGAACTCCTGAATCAGCATCAGATGATCGGTTGAGTGCGGGATGATGAAAGTCAGGCTCTGTGTGGTTTTCAGCAGATACTGTCGGACCCAATGCCAGTTTAGCTAGTAGTGGAGCCAAAAAGGCACCCAAAGCAAAACAGAAGTGTAAGGCCTGCATATGTGGGGCTCCTTTGTCCCCCCAAAGAGCCAAGATAAGGACGTTACCACCTATCAATGAAAGATGGAAAAAATTATTTAAGTTAAACATAGTCACTTTTTTTTTTTAAAAAAAGTTCACTTATCAGAAAGGAGGTGAGTTTATTTTACACGGCACAAGCATTATAATATTCTAATTATCAAACACTGCAACTAAATCAACTCTGAAAAGGAACTCTAACCCACTACCACCAGACAACTCTAAGCATTGTAACATCACATACTCACAAATCGAATGCTACAGTCTAGTAAACCACTACCTTCGAGAGCCAAGGACACTAGCAAGAGGCTTTTTATAATACCGTTCTAACATCAGACTGGGGAAGAAATAGTCATATATTAATATTTTACATATATATATTTAGAAGGCAAAATTTTATCATCAGATAGTAGCCAAATTACCAAAGTTTTCTGTACTTGCTCTTGGTAAGCACTTGAGGAAAAGTACTTACTTATGTATGTAACAGATGCAAAACATACATCCAAGAACCTGAATAGCCCAGGGTTCTGGTGTGCCCGTTAGAGCAAACAAGGACACCGTTTAGCAACTGCATTTATACTGTCTAAACATCTAGGAGGAGAAAGGCAAGAAACAGTACATCTTCCGCTATCTTTTGTTTTCCACAGATATTTTCAGATAAATATATAATTCCACCCTATAATTTCATAACCAAATTAAGCCTGAAATAAAATATTGCCCCAACAGATCACATAACAGCAGCTCAGGGAAGGGAAGGGTAGAAAGCTGATTTTAGGAATAAACAAATGTCACCTGTGTTACTTAGTAGGTTTTAAAAGACATGATGATACGGGGAAAAAATCTACTGCAGAAGGGTGGAAACTTTTGAGACAGAAAAGAACGTAAAAGTAAGAGAGCCTAGTCCACAGCACGAATCTCTCTTGGCTTGGAAGTCAAGGTACATGTCAAGTTGGATTGCTGTTTCTATGCTTTCTCAGCCAAACAGTGGTTCCAAACTTGGTTTAACCTATTAAACCACCAACTCCTCCCATATGAGCACGATAAAGTTCTACCCCAAAATGAAAGCCTATTCACCTGCACTGTAATTACCCACACAGGGCCTTCCCTGTTGACACTGTAAATCAACCATCTCTCACTGAACAAAATTCTTTAAGTCCATTTCAGACTTGGCTTCTCAGAAACAGGCCTCCTAATTAGCAAGAATAGCTGCTAGAAGGGTGATTCATTCTGAGTGACTCCAGGACCAACTCAGTAGGTCTGTGTCATTTTACAGGGCATTGCAAGTGATCGTTTAACGTTATCGGTTGTACTTCTTCTAGTAGAAAGTCCCTACTCCCAGAGATGACACAGAAGAGCTCACTAACCTGTATCCAGAATGCCCATTGAAGCACCAAAGACAGACATCATGACAGTGAGTAATGCTGCTTTCTTGCAAAAAGGAACAAGATAAAGACCAACTGTGGTAGCCAACATTGACACTCCTGAGAAGGTAGAAAGTGAACTATAAAAAATAATATCCATGCAAAGTCGTAGATCAAGTCAACATCATAAATGTCCAAACATGCAAAATAAGGTCAAATTTAAATTAGGTAAAGAGTAGATGAGAGTTTTTGCTTCTAAAAGTGCTTACGTTATTGGAATCTTTTATAATCTTTATGGACTATGAAATATAAATAGTTATAACACAAATACATTTCCAGCACTGCTAATAAGCTGTAAATTATACCACAAGGCAAAGTTTTATACCAAAAGAGACACGCCAAAATTAATTCAAATTATTCACATTGAAGAACCTAAAAGAAATTTTTAGACATGAGGTAAGAAATTAAAAAGACAAAAATAAAATGCAACTACTAGAGTAGGGTGTAGTAAAATTTACTAAATAAATTAGTTTGAGAAATAGGGAGGAAAAGATAAGAAATATGTTCTCTCTACCCACTTTGGAAATAAGAGGGATTATTTATTAATTCACTAAAAATAAATTATTATTCTTGCTTCCAAAAGAATTTTATATTAATCTAAATTTTCTCTAAATATTTCAATTGATTTTTTAAAAAGTATATATGTTCAAAGCTTTGCCAGGCCAGGTGTGGTGGCTCACACCTGTAACTCCAACATTTTGGGAGGCTGATCTTTTGAGCTCGGGAGCTCCAGACCAACCTGGACAACATGGTCAAACCCAAACTCTACTAAAAATACAAAAATTAGCCAGGTGTGGTGATGCACATCTGTGGTCCCAGCTACTCAGGAGGCTGAGGCAGGAGAATTGCTTGAACCCAGGAGGTGGAGGTTGCAGTGAGCCGAGGTCGCGCCACTGCACTCCAGCCTGGTGCCTGGTGACAGAGTGAGACTCTGTCTCAAAAAAAAAAAAAAAAAAAAAAAAAGGCAGCTTTGCCTCCTATTTCCTGGGTGAGACAGCCCTCTGGTATTGTCCAATGATGACATAGGGCAGTAGGGACAAAAACGTAGCCTACGTCAGTTCACCCACCCTCCCATCTTCATTTCCAGTGCAGGGTGCAGGCTGGGCAGGGTCAAGGAGCTCCTGCTGATCTATGGTAGCCCCAGGAAATCTGCCTAAACCCCAATAAGCAGAGTTTTTTGGACAACCAGTATGTGATCCAGGACTGGTATCTAAATTATAGTGGTTGGGAAGGCTAAGGATTGCTAACACAGTTTAGAGTTAATCTAAATTTCCAGAGGGCCCCAGCACAGATTCTCTCTAGCTGTCAAGGTGAAAGCAGGTACCAGGGAAACCCAACTGCCATTGAGGACACCTAAACACTACCCATTTCGGCTGCCAACCATTCTGCATGCGAGTGCTTTCATATTTTCAAAGACAAGTTGTAAATTCACTGACAGTAATAAAGAAAGTAAACTTAGCATTTACTTACCCAAAAGTAAAAAATGATTCATGACGTCAACGAGAACTCCACCAATCACAGAGCCACTCAAATATCCAAAGGCACGACCCACAAAAATGAAAGACAGACTACTGATATTTTGGTTCACATTTGCTGCCAAATCTGGAAACGTGGGTCCGAGTATAGCAACACTCAATCCCTGAAATGTAAAAAGACAAAAGCTTTTACTTACAATAAGTAAAATAATATCTAACTATGTGGTAGCTTCTTCCACTGTAAAAAAGGGAGACAGGGCGTGGGATTTACAATGTAATGCAGGGAATTAGACTACTGTTTTTTGGTTTTGACTAAAACTTTTTTTTGTTTTGACACCTCTCAAATTTTAAGAAATTAATTTTGTTGCTGCAATCCTGTTTCTTTTCTGAACAATATCTTTAAAAGACTATTCTGTATTGTTAATAAAATGTAATATTAACAAATACAGCCAGGTGTGGTGGTGCATGCCTGTAGTCCCAGTTACTAGGGAGGCTGAGGTGAAGGGATTGCTTAAGACTTGAGGTAGAAGGCCGGGCGCGGTGGCTCAAGCTTGTAATCCCAGCACTTTGGGAGGCCGAGGCGGGTGGATCACGAGGTCGAGAGATCGAGACCATCCTGGTCAACATGGTGAAACCCCGTCTCTACTAAAAATGCAAAAAATTAGCTGGGCATGGTGGCACGTGCCTGTAATCCCAGCTACTCAGGAGGCTGAGGCAGGAGAATTGCCTGAACCCAGGAGGCGGAGGTTGCGGTGAGCCGAGATTGTGCCATTGCACTCCAGCCTGGGTAACAAGAGCGAAACTCCATCTCAAAAAAAAAAAAAAAAAAAAAAAAAAAAAAAAAAAAGACTTGAGGTAGAGGCTGTAGTGAGTTCTGACTGAGCCACTGGGAAACATCAAAACATCAAAATATTCCTTTTTTCTGGTGTTGTTAAACAGCAATATTTCTGGATGCACATGGGGTCCTTCCCCTGAACTATGCATATAAAACATGCAGGAGATAAACAACTTAAATGTTTCTATATCTATTCTTCCAAGCCATCAGAATTACAGTCAGTAAAGATTGCTTAGAAAATATTACATGCCCAAGTATAGAATGCCTTTAACAACAAAACTTTACTCAAAGACAATGCAGTGTTAGCAAGAAGTAAGGATTACAGTTGACTTTCAGAGGAAATTCATTGGACACAAAAAAATGTTTCCAATCAGTCTACATTTCCAGAATATCATTGATTCTAATCGTCCTGCTCTGCTCTAAATGCATGAAGTGCGCCCCCTGCTCAATCATTAACAGTCCAAGACTAAGGACCAATGTGGGCCCAGGTGCACAGCAAGCACCTAGTACTTCCAGAGAAGCCTGAGCACAGAATCTAATCAAATTAGTTCATGTCTTCAAAGGATTTACAAGAGACCTGACACTCAGTCATGACTCACCGAAAGTCTGAAATGATTTCTTTCTTCACCCCTCCCCACCCCGCAATCAAAATACTCTAAATAAGAAACAATTCTGGGCCGGGCGCGGTGGCTCAAGCCTGTAATCCCAGCACTTTGGGAGGCCGAGGTGGGTGGATCATGAGGTCGAGAGATCGAGACCATTCTGGTCAACATGGTGAAACCCCGTCTCTACTAAAAATACAAAAAATTAGCTGGGCATGGTGGCACGTGCCTGTAATCCCAGCTACTCAGGAGGCTGAGGCAGGAGAATTGCCTGAACCCAGGAGGCGGAGGTTGCGGTGAGCCGAGATCGCGCCATTGCACTCCAGCCTGGGTAACAAGCGCGAAACTCCGTCTCGAAAAAAAAAAGAAAAGAAAAAAAAGAAACAATTCTGGCTCAGAGTCCCTGAGATGCTAAGTGACCACAAATGACTCTTCAGAGAACTCATCCTCCCAACTCCCCAAGGATCATACATCAGGTGATAAGAGGGAGGCTTCCCAAAAGTAAATAGAGGGGCGGCCCAGGGGTTTGGCAAAAGTCGCTTCTAGCCGTGCAGTTTGCTCCAAGAAAAACATTTAAGAATCTCAAGTTGGTTTTATTAATAAATATGGCTGTGGGCAAAGTAAGAGACATATTCCTGGCCATATCATACTCCTGGCTAAGTAACCAGCTGTGTGATCCAGAAAAGTCACTTTCCCCTCTGGGCCTATTTCCTTATCTGCAAAATTAAGCAGTTGGACGAATTAAATCAGACCACCGGAAAGAAGAAAAGCAGTTTTTCTGTGTAATAATTTGGGGGTTGAGTGACGGGGTGAGGAGAGCAGCGGCCAAAGCCCTGGGCAACTTGGAACCTTCCCATCCCACGAAGTAGTAGGAAGGCTCGCTGGGCCGGAGGCAGTGGCTCACGCCTGTAATCCCAGCACTTTGGGAGGACGAGGCAGGTGGATTACCTGAAGTCAGGAGGAGTTCGAGACCAGCCCGGCCAACATGGTGAAATCCTGCCTCTACTAAACATACAAAAATTAGCCAGGAATAGTGGCGGACGCCTGTAGTCCCAGCTATTTTGGAGGCTTAGACAGGAGAATCGCTTGAACCTGGGAGGCGAACACTGCCGTGAGCCCAGATCGCACCACTACACTCCAGCCTGGGCAACAGAGCGAGACTCTGTCTCAATAAAAAAAATTAAAAAGGCTTGCTGGAGCTGAAAAACATATTGAGAAAATCTCTTGCACTTAACAATAACACTCCAACTTTATAAGTGTGCCCATTTTCCAGATGATGAAACTGAGGGCCAGACAGATTAGGTAACGCGCCTAAGATCAGTTTGCAAGTGGCAAAGGCGAGACTCGAACGCCCCGGCCTGGGAGGGCTGCAGCCCGGGATCTCACCAGCCCCAGGAAGCAAGACAACAGGATCACAGTGGTGAACCACCGCAGCATGCTCCCGGTCCCACCGCTCGGCTGGGAGACCGCCACCGTCTCCGGATCTTTCTCATTCTCCGCCGGGGCCTCAGGCTGCAGGAGCCGCTGCCCCGCAGCCAGGGGCCCAGCCCCGCAGAGCTCCACTTCCAACTCCAGCTCGGCGGCTCCAGGGAAGGCGTCTTGCTGCCGCCGCGCGTCTCAGTTCTCAGCGGAACCTCTAGAGCTCGGAGACGAGCACTGGCCCCGCCCCCGGGCCCGGCTGTCCCTCGGGGCGCCACTTCCCAAGGGACCGCCCAGGCCGGGACTGAGAAGGCCAACTTCGCAACACGGCCGGTGTTCCGGTCAGCGGACGCACACCCTGCGGCACACACGGCGCCTGCGCGAGTCACGTGGCAGAAATGTGGCGTCTAGCCAACCGGGACCGCGTCTCTAGCCGGAAGTTGATGTGGTTGCCTAGGAGACCGGACGCGGCTCTCTAGCCTCGGCATCTTGCTTAGCTGAGCCCACAGAGGCTGGCGGATGTGCGCCCCATGGCGGAGCGAGCTGAAGCCGCAGCCTGGGACCAGAAAATCGAGACGTAAAACGCGGCCAAACCATTATGAGGAAAATGGGCCAAGAATTGAACGATAATAGCGCTTCCGCCGGCCCCCCGGGTCTCCTGGGGAGCGGAGGGAGCCTGAAGATCTGGTCCTTATACAACTTTTTGAAATCCCTGACATGTGCCGTGAGTCGTTCATCTTTCACTCCACGTATTTGTTGAACTTGATTTGAAGTTTTCACGTATTTTATCTCAACCCTCACAAAACTCCAAATTCCACATTATCCCCGTTGTGCAGATGGAAAGATTAAGCCATAGAGAATAAGCAACAATTTGCCCAAGCGCAGTCATCGAATTAGTGGCCCTAAATAGTGTAGCTCAAGAAAGAAACCGGGATCCAAAGCTGTGGTTTCAAGCACACTCCCACCCCAATTCCTGAAATAATTCCATCGTTGTAAAGAAGAGGAACATGGCATCGATTTGAGGAATTGCTTCCTTTTGCTCTTTAACAAAGCGGACCACAGCCTCAAAAGGTCACACATTTTTCTTCATCGTCTATTTGAAATGTTCTTTTCCACCTGATTCTTTCATCCACTTAGGTTCCCAGACTACGAACCTCAGTCTTATCATTGCAACTCATCTCTCTAGCCTTATTCATTTAGTCATTAAGTCTTTCCCCAACCCGCACCCCCGCTTTTTAATTTTTTTTCTTTTTTGAGAGTTAGCTTATGTCACCCAGGCTGGAGTGCTGTGGCACGATCTTGGCTCACTGCAACATCTGCCTCCTGGGTTCAAGCGATTCTTCTGCCTCAGTCTCCCGAGTAGCTGGGACTACAGGCGCGCGCCATCACGCCCAGCTAATTTTTGCGTTCTTGGTAGAGACGAGTTTTTACCATGTTGGCCAGGCTGGTCTCCAACTCCTGACCTCAAGCCATCTGCCTGCCTCAGCTTCCCAAAGTGCTGGGATTACAGGCATGAGCCACCACGCCCTGCCAAGCATTTCTTTTGGCAGGTCAGTTGACATTCCTTAATATGAGAATGTCTTTATTTCACTTTGATTCCTCAAATATTTTCACTGGAAATAGAGTTCTGGGCTAACAGTTATTTCCTTTCAGCACAGAAAGATGAGATTCCTATTTGAGTTTTGCCACCCAACAGTTCCCAACTGGGGCCTCTCCTCAGGACAAACCACAAGAAAAGAAAAAAGCCAGAAAATTCATCCTTTTGCATTCTGAGTTTTGACTCCCTACCACAATTCTTTCTTTACTTTTCAGAGTCTGCAGGTAGTTGCCATTTGTATTTTGTCATGAGTCTTTTAGTTGTAATCAGTGAGAGAGAGGGACTGAAGTAGGCTAATGACGACAAACCAGGACGTTTTCTACCTGTCCTTTGAGGATCCATGTTAAAAAATAAAGTAAAAATAATAAAAACAAACAAAAAAATTACTTCGGTGTCAGTCTTTTCTAACACGCCTTTCATTCTTGAGGCTGGTATATTTTCACTAATTCCTATTAGTTGTGCTGCTCCTAAATCTTTTCACAGGTTTTACGTCGTGTTACAGTTCTTTTAGCACTTACCTTTAGTTCCTTAGTAGATTATAAAGTCAATGAGATTGAAACTATGGGTGTTATATGTCTCTCCCCTAACATTGTATTACATAATAAATATTACCTGACTGAATCGATTTATTACCTAACTGAATTGAGGTTCAGTAAAGCAATTGTAAAATTAAATATTTTAATTCACCCTGATTAAATGTAAAAAAAAAAAAAAAAAAAAAAAAGCCTTCTCTAAATGGAAAGCTACTTTCTGATTCTTCATTCCCCACTTCACTCTTGAAAGCAGCAGGGTATTTTTTCCAGTTGCCTCCAGAGGTCACCCATTGCCTTTCAGGAAGAAAAAAAAAAAAAAAAAAAAAGAAAAAAAAAAAAATATATATATATACACACACACACACACACACACACACACACACACATACATACATACTACAGCATTGCTTCATGCAGGTTTCTCTTAGATCAATAGTAAGGATCAAGTTTTTTTCTGAAAGGCAATTTTGGAGAAATAAAAGTGTTTATGAGTCACATTTTGTACTGAAAATAAATATAGCCTTATTGATTCTTTTAAAAAGTATTTTACAATGTACATGACTTAATTTATCAAAAAGGAAAATATCTGGATTTTAGTCACTAATCTGGTACTATCTGGGTGTGTTTGTGAAATAGTAACTAGGAGGCAGGTTTTTTATCTTTCAACTTAACTTTTTTTGGGTGAGAGAATTTAGACAGATCATGCTTGGAGACTGCATGTCACTGTGAGGACCTATTTAATTTTTATTCTCCAGAAGGACCATCCTTTTTACTTATGATGTCCAATATGTACTTACAGTGTATCATGAAGAACTAAGTGTCACCATAACTGTTTCTTTCTGTATACTAAACTATCATTCTTTAATTTCACTGCTAAAAACCCAGTCTATTAAAACCATCTCTCATGAAGATTTAATTTCAGTAAGACAACTTTTATGGCTTTATACTACGTGCTTTGAAAAGTTGGAAATGCTGTTGAAATGATCTGACATTGGCGATGTTTGATAGAATATATTATCAAAAATGAGAACTTAAATTTTTCTTTACTTTTTTTTGAGACAGTCTTGATCTGTCACCCAGGCTGGAGTGCAGTGACGTGATCATGCCTCACTGCAATGCCGATCTCCAGAGCTCTATCAATCCTCTGGCCTCAGCCTCCCAGTAGCTGTGACCACAGGCATGTGCCACATGCCTGGCAAATTTTTGTATTTTTTGTAGAGATGGGGTTTTGCCATGATGCCAAGCTGGTAGAATTTTAACTGGATTCACTATAACATTTAGGTCTACAGCATTCTTTGACTCCACCAACATATAGATATCCTATGCTGTATTGATCAGACAAAATCTTTGGTGACTGTCCCATTAATAACCAAAATCAGTGATTAAGAAAATAAAAACAAAGCAACCAAAAGTGAGAACATGGCAACTGTAGGCACTATGAGAACAAAAACGAATTCATGTTTCTTTTAAAAGTGCTTCAGAAGAAATTAGGATCATCTGCCATAAAAAAGGAAACCACTTTAGGGTTTTCAGTGCCCTCTAAGCAAAACGGTCTTCCTCCGTCTGTATGGGAGGAGGCCACTTACTCAAAGGGCTGCATACTTGGTCATTTATTTAGTCACTAGTTATTGAATACCTACTAAGTGCAAAGCATTGCTCTAACCGTGAAAAACCAGACAAAATTCCTGCCCTCGTGGATAGACAATGAAGAAGTACATTTGTAATACGATGTCAGACAGCAATAAGTTCTCTAAAGAAAAATAAAGCAGGATAAAGAGCATAGAAAGTGATGACAGGGGTTATTTTAGATCAAGGTAGAGTTGGGGGAAGGCTCCTGTGAGGGTGAGTGACACGTGAACAGAAGTCTAACAAATGAGGGAACCAGCTATGCAAGAAGAACATTTCGGAGAGAACAGCAGGTGCAGAGATTCCATTGCAGGAATGAGCTTGGTGTGTTGGAAAAATCAAAAAGGCCAGAGTGGCTGGAGCAGCATGAAGACAGAGTTGGTAGAAAATGACACATGACAGCGAGTAAGGTCCTGATCATGCCAGGCCTTACGTTAAAGACTTTCTGGGTGCACTCTAGGGGAGAAGAGCAAGATGAAGAGCAGAGAGAACAGAGACCTAATTAGGAGGTTAATTGATTAGGTCAGATTTGTTTAGATGATCAGAGTGGTCAGATTTGGGAAATCTACTGAAGGTAAAAACAACAGCATTTGCTCATGGGCTGGGTGTATGACAGAAAGAATATCAAGGATGACTGCAAGGATTTTGACCCGAGCAACTAGTGAGTAGTGGATCAGATGGCAAAGATTATGGAATGAGCATGCATTGTCCTAGGACCTGGAAGAAAATCAGGAATTCAGGTAGAACATGTTAAGATTAAGGTATTTATTAGATAATTAAATGAAGGTATCAGGTGGAAAGCTGGATATCCAGCTCAGTGGAAGGATCAGAGCAATTGAAACAAACTGGGAGCCATCAGCATGTAGATGATGTTTAGTACCATGAGACCAGCTGAGATCACCTAAAGTGTGAGTGTAGATATTAATAGACAAGATCAAGGACTAAGCCCCAAGCACATCTCATGTATACAGGTGTGAAAGATGAGGAGTATCCTGCAAAGAAGACTAAGATAAGAGGAAAAGCAGGAGAGTGTGTATGGTGTAAACAAAAATTCAAGAAGGCAGGTGTGCCCAACTCTAACTTCCTACGGAGAAGACATTAGATGTATAGAATCAAGCACATATTCTTGAATAATTGTGTAACTTAGCCTTGCTTTCCAAATGCATGGATTGAACTAGATGATCTTTGAGGTTGGTTGTAATGCTAAGTTTTATAAGAGCAGTAAATAACTTAAAAATTTAAAACTATAACTCCACCCCCCCAAAAAAAAAACTACCCCTTATTCTCATTTTTGTCCTGAAAGTAAAAAAGGAACTCAAAATTGGTGTTGTAGTACAGTTTTTCCCTTTTCCCCAGATTGGGGTTATTGTTCAGTTACATTTTACGTAATTATTTGAAAAGGTTATAAGTAAATGAAGTGTCTTAATAATCCTTTTTCTTTTCTTTTTTTCTTTTTGAGACAGGGTCTCCCTCTGTCTCCCAGGCTAGAATGCAGTGTGCTATCATGGCTCACTGCAGCCTCAAACTCCTGGGCTCAAGCAGTCCTCCCATCTCAGCCTCCTGAGTAGCTAGAATTACAGGTG